GAATTGAGAATCTTGTCTCCCAGGATATCCAAGATATTCATTTCAAGAGACTCATCAGCTTTCAGGGCCAACATAGAAAGTGCATTTGAAGGCAGAGCACGACCACAATATCCCACAAGAAATATTTCATAAATATCAGCAACTGCTTTCCAAGTGCGTACTTTTGCAGATCTTATATTAGCTATATCTGTTGTTGAGCTTTTGGTCACCTTGCTAAGATCATCAACCATAAATTTATTGAATGTTTCAACTGCTGTTCTCCAAAGTGTGCCATCAGGAAAGTCTCTTCTTGTTGTCATACATCTATCAGATAATAATAGAATTTAGGTATCAGTTCCCCAGCACTGGACAAAAGGTACTGAATTAACAAGAAAGACTCAGCAAAAGCAATAGTGATATCAAATTAAGTAAAAAAAACTCAGGGAACTCACAATGATTCCATATAATGCCTGAATTGAAACATGACAAGATTTTTTCAATAGCATTAGATCAGGACCCCAAGTTTTGAAGTTCTGGGATAGAAGGCCTTTAAAACAAATCTGAGAACAGCCCAGAAGTGGAAACAATTCAACGTAAGTTGAAAGTTTCCACCTGTTAACCATTAGTCTTGGAGCATGTTCTCTTGGGAGTTAATTTTCCCTTTCTTCCTACTTTTTCATTCACTCTTCCATTTTTACTCCAATTTTCTTTTTCCTTCTCTAAAGCATGGCCCTACTTGGATTCATATAAAATGAATAATTGTGATTGCCTTGGAAAACATATGTTATAACAGTACAATATTTGAGAATGACATTGAATTTCTTTTTACATTCATTTTCATTTTCCATATTCAAATGGACAAATTCGAGCTGCATATTTCCATTGACTTGATATCTGGTTTGGTCCCTTGATCATTGATACTCCTTCCATCCTGATAATACTGTCCCACTTTCTTTACATGGTTGTCCCGAAAATATTTTCTCACTTCCATTTCAGGTAAATTTAACAATGTAAATGTCCAAAATGCCCTTAATGTACCTACCCACCCCATATTACTCCCACACCACTCCTACCTGTCAAACACATTTCCCGACCCTATTCCTTTCATTATCTCTTCGTCTTCTTCTAATAAGATTTCTCATCATTCTCTGCTACGATTTTTCATCTTCCACTGCTAACATTGTTTCTTCTTCATCTTCCAATCAATCAATTGACTCCTTCATCTTTGTCTTCTTCTATCACGGAAATGACGGAACAAATTCATCGAATCCGCCCCCAATCTCAAACGACGTGAAGACAATTCCTGGACTTCATCCAAAACAGATCCCACATGCAATTATCGGAAAAAGTTCGGAGATGATTGGATATGGGAAGACAGTAATGAAAACTACACAGATCTGGAAAGATGAAGGGGAAGAAGGGACCTCAAAGATGGAGGATACATCCTCGGTCCTCTGATGAAGAGTTCAACTTCAGAAAAAGTTTGCCACCAAGACATTCCATGCACAGTGGGATTGTGACTGGAGGGCGATATCCTGTACATCCTCTTTTCTCCCTTGCATGTATAGAGTGGTTAGTGTGCTAGCTTGTGCTTGAGGTGGGTGGGACTGATGATGACTTTTGGGCTTGTTTGCGGTTGCTGGTTTGTCCAATCTAATGGTATGGATCCCTAATTGAATATTAAGCTGATTTAAAATCAGATTGTTACACTTGGTTCATGAGCATTATTTGCTGTTTTTGTTGCCCAAATGATGACTGTGCCTAATGTGCCCGATTTAGGGGTTGTTTATAGTTGCTGGTTTGTCCTTGTTAACGACCCTAATTGGATTTCAAAGTTTGGACTCAAATTGCTACACTTGATTCAGGGGCCAAATTTGCTGTTTTTTGGTTGCCCCAATTAAAACTATTCCTAATGTGCCTGATTTTGAGATTATTTCTGGTTGCTGGTTTGTCCAATGTTATGATTCCGACCCTAATTGAATCTTAAACTGATCTAAAAACAGATTGCTACACATGGTTTATAAGCCTTATTTGTTGTTTTTGTTGCCCCAATTGCTGTGTACGCATAAGGAAGACCAAGTGCAATGTTTTAAACAGAAAAATTCTACACATGAAAGATACATTTAGCACTTGTTCTTCATAGTCATGCTTTAGAGGCATTTAAAAAAACCAAAACAAACCTTGTGTGCCCGCTACTTTTCTGGGTGTATATAAAAAATTGTACTTAGCTCTATGGTGTGAACACACACATCAATAGCAAAAATAGGTCTTCACACATACTGCCTTCACTTTAAGGCTGCATTAATTGTTCCTGCCATCTTTGCCCTGACATATTCCCTCGCACCTCCCACTACTTCTGCACTGATTGTTATACATTCTGGCAATTCCCCTTGTCTCTCTAACTTGTCCTTGCCAATATGTGCAAGCTTGAAATTGTTCCCTCCATTGTGTTTCTATACTGTTTCCATGACAGTTTGGTAGTTATGAACACACTGTTTAATGTTTCTGGCCTGAGGTCTTCAAATCCAAGGTATTTAGCAATTCCAATATAGACCTAGGAGCTTTTTTCTTTTTAAAGGTGTAGATAGCTTGAAAGAACCATAGGTCTAGCACATTTAGATCAGGGCTATTGGGTGGTTGATAGCATAGCTCTATGCCTCTATATTCCATTCACCTTCTTTTGCAACACTTAGAAATTCAGGATCACATGGATCACTGAGCGGCCTTGCATTACCTTGCTGAACCATGACATGTTTATTCTCAGAATCTGGCCACCTTCCCTGAATTGCTGGTAAAAATTTCTATATCAGCAAGTCTCTAATCGCATCTTTTGCCATGTTTAAAGTTGGCTTATCTCTAGAGTACCTGCAGCTCTGTTTTTTCTTTCTCTTTGCTTTTTCCAAAAATGTGAAAGGGAATACCCCTACTTTACCGCCCCACGGTAACGCCCAATCCACGCCAAACTTTGGCCTACCGACAACGGCCAAAAACATGATTTTGGGAATGAAGTTTTTGGATTGGCTTTTCCGGTAAGGGTCTATCTCAGTTCGTAGGGTGTGGAATGTGGTTGTTTCGTTTGAAAGTTGAAACCACTTTTCATCAATATGAATATGATCGTAAATGTCATGAAAAGTGTGCACTTGTGATATTATGTCATGCCTAACATGATCCAAACAAAATTGCAGTCTTATAAGCTTACCTGCATCTGTGAGAGCAGGCTTGATAGCATTGCCGTGTCTTCTTAACTGCTTGTTTGAAACAACCTATGCACGCTTGATTTTAATGTCTACATAGTGTAGCTCAATGCACCGAAGTTCTTTCTCATTATCTCGTATGAAAAGGAATCTCAGCAATGACATCCAAAATAATTTTTTCCTTTTTCCTCCCTACCATAGTTATTTAAGGCGTGATACGCACCAATCCACAAAGGACCTCTAGTGCCTCGATGCGTGCGCATATATATATATATATATATATATATATATATATATATAGATTTTGGTTCTGGTGAGAATGCAATCTTAGGAGAGAAATGAGAATGAATCTGGTGCTTTAGATTGTGAGATCTAAAGGTCAAGCTTTCATCAAAATTAGATGCACCAAAATGGTGCAAAAATGCATCACGTTGAAATGCATCATAAACCTTCGAAAATGCACTATCTCAAAATCTGAGCGCAGGATGCAATCTGAGCCGCACGATGCATCAGATCCGACGGCTAGATTTTATTCTCATTTCTCTCCACAAGGTGCATTCTCACGGGAACCGGCCCCATATATATATATATATATATATATATATATATATATATATTATATATATATATATATATATATATATATGGGCTGGTTCAAGTGAGAATGCACCTTGGTGAAAGAAATAAGAATAAAATCTAGCCTTTGGATCGGATGCATCGTGCGGCTCAGATTGCATCCTGCACTCAGATTTTGAGATAGTGCATTTTCAAAGGATATTGATGCATTTCGACATGATGCATTTTTAACCCATTTTGGTGCACCTAATTTTGATTCAATCTTGACCGTTAGATCTCATAATCTAAAGCACCAGATTCATTCTTATTTCTTTCATAAGATTGCATTCTCACTTGAACCAAAATCTATATATATATATATATAGGGATTGACTCCAGTAAGATGACACCTTACAGTGAGATGACATGCTTCAGTGAGATGACGCCAAGCTCACCACACTACACTACAAAGCTCACCTAGAAATAAAGCAAAGCTCACCACTTTGAACACCAAAACTCACCTTTTTTTTAAATTTTTGAAAATTAAAAAATTAATAAAAAATAAAATAGCAACACCGGTCAACCACCGGTCAGTGGCGGCAGGCGGCGGTTGCCGGCAACTGGCGGCGGAGCGGCGGCGGCTTCCGGAGACCGGCGGCAGAGCAGCAGAGGCGACCGGCGACCAGGGGCGGGGCGGCGGCCGGCGACCGACGGAGGAGGCCGGCGACCGGCGGCGGAGCGGCGTCGGCGGCAGGTGGCATGCGGCGGTCAAAGGTCGTGGTCAACGTTCAAAATCTAGTCAGCACTCCTTCCTTTGATTTTATTTTTTCAAAAAAAATTCAAAGTGTTGAAAAAATATGGTGAGCTTTGCCTTACAGTTTGGTGTGCTTTGTAGTTGTTTTTGGTGAGCTTTGCAGTGACTGCCAGTGGTGTATGGTGAGCTTTGCCTTACAGTTTGGTGTGCTTTGTAGTTGTTTTTGGTGAGCTTTGCAGTGACTGCCAGTGGCGAGCTTTGCGTCATCTGACCGTAGCATGTCATCTCACTGTAAGGTGTCATCTCACTGGAGTCAATCCCATATATATATACACACACACACACACACACACACACACATATATATATATATATAGAGAGAGAATTTTGAAAAGCATAATAAAGGTTAAGAAACAAATGTTTAAAAAACAGAAACAATATGTTTATAAAAAAACTAATGAAAATCAGAGGACTTGCCCAGTAGAAAGAAGAGAAACCAGCGAGAGAGAAAATATATCGTAAGAAGGAAGAGAGCCGACTTAACCTGCTTCTGCCACTTGCCCAGTAGGTGTGCCGGTTTGGAGAAGGACTTGCGAGACTGGGGAGGAAGAGTCGTACTTGAATCGAAGAAATAAAAGAAAGAGAAAACAATCTTTTAATTTTCCCAGTAGGTATGCCGTTTAATCTCATTGGGATCGTAAAAGTTGGGAGGGGTTAGTCGTAATAAATATTAGCGGTAATTCTAATTAATAAAAAAATAAAAATAAAAAACATATGTTCACAAGGCGCGCGCCTCTTTGCGCATCAATACACTGCGCATATTGCGACGAGGCACAGTAAGGCGCGCGCCTCACGAACAGCGAGTGCATTAAGGTTGGCGATGCACTACTCCTGGCGCTTCGTGCGCATCACGCCTCAGGCGCGCTTTTCACAACTATGCTCCCTACTGTCCCAATCTGTTTGCTCACCAAGTTTAGTGGCAGCCCTGAATGGACACTACTTTTAGTAGTTGACCACTGTAAATGTGTCTTCTTGAAATGTTGAAGTCTTTGCTGATTTTTTTGATAAGAGTCATAAGACCCAGCTGAGGTTTCCCCTCCCGCGAACAAGCTAGCAACAACTCCACTATCTCTCTTTTCTCTTGCTTGCATGTGTATTTTCCCTTTTCTCTTGATTTGTAGCATGGTTTCAATAACAGGCTCGGTCAAGTCCTCCACTTGAGGAGAGTGTGGCATTTAAGGAAAGTCGGGCAGCAGAGGTGAAGTTTGCAGAGGTGGGGAGAGTCACAGTTGAGGTGAAAGTCACAGCGGCTGAGACGGTAATGGTGACAGTGACGGAGAAGGTGACAGCAGTGGACATGGCCTGATCGGAGGCGGAAAGCCTGACCGTCGCAGTGGAGGTGAACATTGCAGTGATAGACATGGCGACAATGGCGGGGAAGGTGAACACAAACCAGGTGGCCAGAAACGAAACAAGAAATCCAGAACAGGCAGAGCATTCAAGTCGCAACCAACTGAAAAATCCTGAGGGGACAGCATTCAAGTCCCACGGGTAAGGAGGTGCAGCCATACCCTCCATTAATGAGGAAGAAGAAATAAATGCTGTATCTATAGAATGGCCACTGTCTTTTGGGGTTTTTGAAAAACTTTGGCTAAAGTGCTAAACTATTGTGTGCACCTTGTCCTCCCTCAACAACTGTGTTGCCTCCACCAGTTCAATCCTCGCCTACTCTACTGTTGCTAACACATATACATCAAGAAGCTATTATCGATGTTGCATCTGGAATCTGGATAGCTAACAGCCACAGTAAAACAATCCTCTCTAAACAAATTCTAACTATAAAGTTTTCACTTTTCAACATTTTTCTTCAACTCCGTAGAAGTCAAAGAAGGATGTTTTTTACGGGACAGTATTTTATTCTTATTTTGCAGTACTCTATACTACAAAAAGAATTTAGATGATATTATCTTGGCAAATGTAGGGTTTATGTGTCCCCTAGTATCAGTTTTTTTCATCTACACTTTTGTTTTCATCTACGAGAGTACAAGACTTGACACTCTTGAGCCATGTTTAGATGCTTTTCCGAACCCTTCAGGCTTCATCTCAAGGGGATTGATATCTCAAAACCTCATGCCCCATTGCATACAGAGACAAATCTACCACAAACATAGATAAAACAACTAGCCAGTTGGATCCCATGAGAATAGGGTCTCATACAAACACCAACGGAGATAGTAATTTTTTATGCTTCCATTTTCTAGATAATTTTATATTTCACAGTGAAAACCGAGTGATGAACCAACTCATTTGACCAAATGACCACATCCTAAATTTTGTGTGTATCATCTCCTGGTATTATCAGGAGCTTAAATTGAAATTTGGGAGCCGGAACAAAAGCACATCTAATCGATTCTTACCTTCCTAAAACATGAATAATGTCAGGGAAAACGTCATACTTCACTGCAGCTGGAGCTTGCACGCAAAGATCTGCTAGTACAGGAATAAGTTTCTCGGAGAACATATGTGTTGAGACAATTGGCCCTGAAGGTGATAAATTTTCTGATTTCTTTGGAGCATTTGAAGCAATTCTACAAGGAACATCAACACTATCGGCAGCTGCATAAAACATAACCCAAAAAATATTTTCACAGATGTATAGATAAAAAAATCACGATTACAAGCACATAAAACTATTACTGTTTCCTTGATCTCCATCATCAATTTCGCCAATGGAAGAATCACATCCTGGAAGATATTCCATTAGTTTCCCAAGGAAAGGGGGCCACATTGTAGCAATATGATTAGCTGGACATACGATTGGTAGAATCTCAAGTATAGTGCGCTGCAAAGGTGGAAGATGGCCCTAAAGAAAAAACAACAGATCATCAGATAACAATTAATGCACAGATATTCACATTAGATATAACATACTGAACAATGCATAAATCATTCAGAGCCCATCGCTAGAAGCTTTTAATAATTTTTTCAGCTTCTAGTTTCTTCACTTCATCAAATACTAAACCAACTCAGCTAATAGAAACAAGAATCTGTCTTGAGCTATAAGGCTTGTAATCAACAACAAGACTTGAATGTGCAGTAATTGTGCAAGCTTTTTTTGGTGAAGACAACCTAGCCGGAATGCAATTACATACATAATCAGCTTCAAAGTTGCTATTTGCAATCTTGGTTTGTTTGATCCCCACATCTAGAACTTTTAGCAGCTTTAAATACATGAAGCTGTCAAACATTTCCTGCGCTTGAACATATAGATCACCTGCCAAAAACCGAAGAATTATGCATACTTCACTTGAAAAAGCTCCATGGACAATCTAAATATCCGTTCAGACCAATGAATAGACATACCAAGACTAAGAAAGATTTCTTGTATCACTTTGCTGGTTGCGCTATTACTGTAGTTTGGCAACTTCGGAAGAACAAGCTCGTAAATATCAAGGACAGATATAAGGTATGGAAGTGGCAAATTTCCCTGTTTTATCAAGATGTTACTGAACAAAATCATAAAGCTAAAAAAACTCTAAAGTAATGTATATCACTAATTATTTGAAACCTATTCATTAAGGACACAGCTATTCTTTAAATAAATAGGTACCATCTATTCATAAGAAAGTGTGGTCGTTACTGGGAAACTCGTGAGGAGCAGGAGTCTTTCCGGTCATCAATAATGGAATCCTCTGACACTTTGATACCACCTTACGTTCGTTAAATAACGACGTTCCCGTTGAAGAAATGATGGTACGTTCTACGACAAGAGTTGCTCCGTGAGTAAAGAGTCCCATCCTATAGGTGCCACAACATCATTCATTATCCAAGAAGGTGAAACTCAAAGTACAATTTGAGTTTAAAAAGCATAAAGATTAAAAGAATAGCAAATTTACCTGATTGAAAATTACTTAAATTTCTGAGTAATGGGAAAAAGGTTCTTAAAACGCGTGCAATTCCACCCAACACAAGAACTAGTGTCTCATCCCATTGTTTCTGAGCAGTATTCCGGCTGCAGGTTCAAATAATTGCATTAAAAAATTTAAAAACAGTGGAACAGCTATCACAGCTTACTGAGTCTCAAGATATATTCGATGCACGTTGGAAAAGCCTACGTAGATGATGGTTATAGAGTTACATCTCATATTTCCATAAAAGCGCATCTGACGTAATATTTCTCCACTGGCTCTTTGTGTGAACTAATTTGAGCCCATTGATGGACACAAATTTTCATACCATCAACACCAACCAAAACAGTTGGGAGTTGGGATTAAGGTGGGAACCATGATTATGACAACGTAAAGTACTGTCAAGATGAAGCATTTCGAATTTCTCATACCTATGGTGTATGAGCATATGAACCGCTTTTCCTCCACGTGTTCCAAGCTCTTTTCCTTGCCATTCAGCTTTTGATGAGGTAGCCGCCTATTGATTAGACTCAAACAGGTAAGTGAGAAACAAGAAACTTTAAAATTCTGACATGCAGTGGGTAATATCTGATTCACTGTAACCTACCATGTGAGAAGCACAATCAAGTGTAGGAAAAACATAATTGCACAGACAATTCTCCCACATCCTATTTGAAAGTTTTTGCCCATGGCTTCCAAGTATTTGAAAAAGTGTCCGGACAGCAGAATTACGTACCTAGAGTCAATTTAGGTAGATCAATGAGAAATATTCAATTGAATGTTAAAGAATAAAGAAGATTAAAACTTTTCATTTCTGCAAGCCAAGCAGTTTACACAATCATCTAACTAGATATCACACAGGTTGTGTGTGTGTGTAGCTATAACAAAAAACATGAAAAGGCCAAAGGGTGACGTCATACTAGATTTCGTAGAAGCAAATTATCTATGTTAAGTATCCCGCACGGATGGGTACTGGGACCATAGTCTAGTTGATAGAATTTGGCAAACCACATCCACTAAAGCATCCAGTTGTGGTAAAATTAGACGCAAATGACCAATTAACATGGTATCAGAGCCTACCCATTTGTTATTTCTAGAGTTTGGAAACTGCCCGTTTATCACATGGTTTGGGGTCTGCCTGTTGGTTGTCTAGTACGACAGGACTCAAGGGTGTGTGTTAAATATCAGACATCTATGGGTTATGGCTAATGGGACCATAATCTAGTTTGTACAGTTTGGAAAACCTACACGTCTTGAGGATCCTTGTGGGGTGTAGCTAGGAACAGATCCCAATTAACAACCTACTAGTTACAACTACTTTCTTAGAAAGAGGGAGCAGCACTTAGTCACATAAAAAATACTCTGAAACACAAATAGACTTCTCCCTCAAAACCATGCACCATCTTCAAGTACAAGGTGATCCCTTGTGAGAGCTAAACCACACAACATCGACCCATTTGAGATATAAACACTTGTGGAAACAAAATGTAGGAATATTTGTGTACGATACAAATGCAAGAAGCTTGACATTAGCTCTTTGATGTCACCTTCAATGTCATTAAGATTTAGGAGACTACTGTATTATAAATACCAGTATCCTCATTATACTTTCACATGTTACGAGAGTACAAAACTACGAGAGCCATATTGTCTTGGTGTGAACAGTTCATTATTGCAAAGGGAAAGACAGTTTTCTAACAAATTTAATTTTTTGGTAGTGATTCATCATATTTGAAGACGCGAGTAGACTTATCTCCTCTTCGCAAACAATCATCAGACACTTCACGTGCCACCCCTGTTGAAAAAGATTAAGGAATCAAAGCGAAGAGATAATATTTGGTGTCATATAAGATAGATTATGGAATGATGGATGATGATATTGATAGAGGGGTTCAGCCAAATGCAAAGAGAAAAGAAAGTTTTGTGGGAAAAGAGGTTGGGAGGTACGAATTTTGTTATTAGAGCTGGAAAACAAGTCAGGTCAAGCTTGAGTTTGATACTATCGAGTTCGGGATATTTTTGTTTCGGGTTATCCATGGGTTTAATAATATTGCAGTGAAAGGATCAGTCCGACATACAGTAACAGAAGGTGAATGACTCGTATTTTCGCTAGAAGCACAGTTGTAAGCAAACCTTGTGTGAAGGAGTAAGTCCCCCCACTGTTTGATGTACTTCTAATCTTCTTTATGAGTGTGCATCGATCTGAAAAAAGGTATCGAAGGTCTTGTACATTTCAATATGTCCAATCAGTTTGGGGTGGAAAAAACGGTTGAATTTTAGTTTCTTATTTAAACTTATCCCCAATGCTAGCAAATTAAATGACGAAGAAACTCGTTGTCCCGATGAGAAACCATGCTCCTCAGAATGACATGTAAACGAACCACTTCTTTGCAAGAGAGGCCTGCAGTTTGAGTGTGTGGTAGCCTGGTAATGAAATCATGCCTAACATATTCCAAGGAATTAGAGGTATGGGCAGGAAAGGAAAGAGTCCTGAGCACATGTATGGTTTTATTGGCTAGTTGGAAGGTGTTACTTCTCTTGATAAAGTGTTCCTATTCACAAGTTTCGGCCCGTAGTAGTTCTCTCTAGCTAAATCACGCGTCTTCTCCTCACAATAGTGTCCGGCAAGTGCTCCTCTTTGAACTTCATCAATGTGAATTTCTCGAACATTGCACCATGGAATGCATAGTATGTTTCCTTCAAATAGAAATCCATCTTTGATAAAGAAATCTCTATGGGGGCGCGTCGAACATTTCTCGGAGATCTCCTTGAAATCAGAATTCTCCTGGTACAATTCCTGCAAAAACTTGATACCAATTATTTTTCTTTTTGAAGTAGTCATGAAAAATAATTGAGGGACAAGGCATTTGTTGTTTTGTTTAAACTCTCCACTTTTGTGTTTGATAGACAAAGTGAAAGTTTGCAAGTATTCCACCCACGCCGGATTTATCACACTCTATCTCAAAGAGTCTTTCAAACAAGGGTAAGAGTAAGACTAGGACGGGGGAATGAGGAAGTTTATATTTGATGGTTTGAAAGCCTTTTTGGGCATTATCACTCTATTCATTCCCTTCAGAGATAAGCTTTGTATTTCATCTGTTTGAATGAAGAAGATTGCATGTCATCAAAGACTATCTTTTATGTAAATCTATGATAACTCATGCATGAGTGCATGACATCAAATCCTTGTGACTCTTTGCAGCTAAAATACATACATATATAATACATATTTTCACATTTTCCGAAGTATATATACACTCAAATTTGCACCGCAACATTTAGTGAAAGTCTAATGGGAATCAAAACAAAGATGTGCATTTAACTTATGATACTAAAACTAAATACTCCAAGTGTTTATAAAATTTTTCTATGTGCTACTTTTCAGGGAATGAAAAGCATCTAAAAGAGAGCAATATTGACAAAGAAATAAACAATGTTGGTTGAAATAAAACTATGCGCATTAGACACCACAAAGAGTACAATATACCTCAGGTCTCTCATCAGCTACCAGACTTTGTAGTAATGAGAAAACAGAAAATAACAATTTGTCACGATCAATTACGTTAAGCTGTAATGCTTGCTCCCTATAATTATTTGAAGAAGTGAGATTATACTCCTCCATAATCCCATTGTTTATTTTATCTGAAACATGATTTGAACAAAAAGGAAAAGGATTTGAGCGCAACAAATTGCAAAAATGCAGATCCATAAAGAGAAGGGTGATTCAATATTAAGCTCAAAATATTTTTACCAGATTCTTTATGTTCTTCGTGAGCATCTTGGAGCCCCTTGGCCCCCTTGACAAGAAAA